ACTATGCCGAATAAACTATTCTACATGGCTCTGTGAACAGAGCCATGTAGTCTAGACGTAGCCCTGGTGTTGATTAGAGCTGTAGGGGCGGGGCACAGCGTGGCGGCCATTTTTATTTTAATGAAGCGGGGAGTATTTAAATCCCTGCTTCTTTGACTATGCCGAATAAACTATTTTACATGGCTCCGTCGACAGAGCCATGTAGTCTAGACGTAGCCCAGAAGGGGTTACCATGGCGACAGTGGCCCAAAGCAGAAACTGGGTGTCCAACCTCCTGGTTATCATGAGGAACGAGGAAAAGTCCTGTTGCTGCCAGCTGTAAGGAGGAGATTTGTGGGCATGGTTGAGGATAAAGATCAACTTGGGTTTGGGGGTGTCTTCCACCCAGGCAACACCAGCAACTGGGGCGTATCTGACTTCTGACCTCCTAGCGAACAGGCCCCTTTCCTTCCTCCAAACACCAAGCAAAAAGGGTTTTTCCCTTTTTGGTTTCTTTTTCTGAGCTGTTTCCCCTCCCTCACAACAAATGAGTGAAGTGAACCAACGAGATGAACCCAAATTAGTAACGGGCCAAGGGCATGCCCATAGGCAGCATGCAGCAGATGGAGGCTTTATTGGGGGGGGGGGGAGGGCAGAGAGATATCAGTCAGCAGAGGAAGAACCCTTGTTCCCAAGCTAAATTCAACCTCCTGTGTCAGGGGTTCTCAAGCTTCATCACCAGGCACAAGGACTGAAGCCTGAGCCGCTCCAAGCACGGCTGCCCTGGCCAGGGGCAAAGCCAAAGCCCACGGACTTGAGACCCAGCCGGGGGGCCTATCAACAGCATCACTGCCCAGAGTTAAAGCCCTCAGGGTTCAGCATCAGCCCTGTGCAGTAGAGGTTGGTTTCCAGGCCCTCAGCATGTCTAAGCCTGGCTGGTGAAGGGTGTGAGAGGCATGCATGGAATGCAGGCACTTTCCCCTCGCTCATTTAGCATCCCGGAAACAGGCGGGAAAGCTAGCCACATCCTGGAGCGCATGGCGGCTGCCCTCCTTACCCTCCTCCAATGGCGTCTTCGAGTGTGGCTGAGGGTGGGGGCTTTGGGGTGCAGCACTGAGGGGGCTCTGGCTTTGGGGGAGGATCAGGGCTGGGGCAGGAGGGGCTCACCTCGAGCGGCTCCCGGTCAGCGGTGCAGCGGGGAGGCTAAGGCAGCTTCCTGCCTCTCCTGGCACCACAGACCAGGCTGCCCCCAGAAGCATCCAGCAGCAGGTGTCTGCCAGGCGTCACTCTGGCTGGGCGAAACCACCTGTGCGTTGGGAGCCGCGTTGCCACGGTCTGGGGTAGGCTGGTCTTCATCAGGGTTGTTTTATCCTACTGCCCGTCTCTCGGCTGTGGTCACATTGTCCCGCTTCCCATTGTTTTCCTCTTGACACACCAGGCAGCTGCCAGGCTGTCCTTGGGCCCAGTCCAGCTGCCCAGATCTGGGAGGAGCGACCACGCTGCCAACCCGGCTGCCTGCAGGGCTGCCAAAAAGCAGCAGGTGGCAGCTGCCTCTGCCCCTGGACCGTGTCAGCAGAGCCTGGCGGCTCCAGGCTGATGAGAGCCCTGGAAGCAAAACTGCCCTGACTCGAGTGATTCATGCCTGAGCAATGAGCCTTTCAGGTCCAGGGAAGGCAAGCGTGACGGGGCGCACGCTCCATCGGCCGCGAGAGGGAGATTCTGCTGCAGCTGTGCAGTGGGATTCGAATGGCGCGTGGAGAGAAGAGGTAGCTAGTGTGGGTCCCAATATGCCTGGGGGGTGTGCATCAATAAGTAACCCCCCTGCTTCGTTATCTGTTTTTACACAGCTTTTAATGTAAGTTGGTACAGGTAGCCGGATACGGCAGGGGTACAATATGCTACACGCATCGGGATAAATTACACTCGCCCTTGCAGCATGGGTGCATTGATGGGGGGCTCTGTGGGAGGCAGTCACAGAAGACCCCTGGCGGTGCGTCCCAGAATGCTGATATTGCCACTGATACTTGCTTCCCTGATCTCTGGGGTGTCTCGCCACCCTGTCCTGCTGGGCCAGATCCCTGGTCTCCCCCAGCCAAGGCATAGAGCTGAGATCACCACCCAGCAAAGAGCAACGCAGACCCCGAACCTCTCCAGGTCTGAGGAGGAAGCAGTTTAGGGCCCAGCTCCGAGGACACCCACTCCCCAAATGGGATCAGAACCCCAAATACATTATTCAGGCAAGCCCCCTTTAACACCAAAAGGAGGATATGCACACTGATTGCTCCCCCAGATAACAATTATTTACACTGGGCGTGATAGCAAATCAAAGTGATTGTATTAAGTCCAAGCAGTAGGATTTAAGTGGTTGCAAGTGAAAATAGGCAGGACAAAGTAGATTACACATTTAAAATAACAGCAAATGCATGGCTAGTTCTAGCATCCTGAAGCTCATAGCAAACTTATCCTAACACTGTTCTTATTTCAGCTAAACTTCCAAGGGTATGTCTACACTACCACCCTAGTTCGAACTAGGGTGGTTAATGTAGGCATCCGAAGTTGCAAATGAAGCCCAGGATTTAAATATCCCGAGCTTCATTTGCATCTTGCTGGGCGCCGCCATTTTTAAATCCCTGTTAGTGCAGACTCCGTGCCCGCGGCTACACGCGGCACGGAGTAGGTAGTTTGGATTAGGCTCTCTAATCCGAACTACCGGTACACCTCGTTCGAGCTTCTCAGGAGCAGGGGAAGGAAAAAGAGAGAGTCTCACATGTGCTCCTTCTCCTTATATTGTGTCTGAATGGCCCCTGTGACTCATTCACCTTGTCACCAGGGAGCATGCCCAGACTTCCCTTTATCCATCAAGGAGCATGCCCAGACTGTGATGACTCATTGTCATGTAGTCCATTGTTCTAAGCCTTCTTCAGACACACACACACTCACTCTCCATTCACTCAGGGGAGAATGCAGCTTAGGAAAAAGTTACAAGCAAGGTGGCTGCATGTTACAAAGATTACAAAGTTGCAGTTTACAGTAAGTTTGAGAGTTACACACATTGGAAAGATTGACGAGGATCATAATAAGTTGCAGTTTAAAACCTTAGACCTTACAGTTTGGTGTAGCTTTACAAAATCCATGTATATAAATCTAGCAAGCTCAGGTTGAGGCTTTTTTATGTGACAATCCCTAAATGGGCCCCTCAAGGATTAAACTCACAAGCCTGGGTTTAGCACGCCAATGCTCAAGCCACTGAGCTATCCCTCCCCCTATTAAACTATGTGTACAGGATTTGAACCCACAACCCTGGGACTTCCAGGTCACTGCCCTAGCTACTATGCCACATGAGGCCCCTGTCCTTGCCTTCTCCTGTGAGAGCCATGCCAGTTACAGATCAAGATCCTGAAAACTTTTCATCTGAAACAGCCTCCCTTTTCGGCAGGAATTCTTTGTTTCACATTCGCCTATTTGATGGGAAATGACCTGGCCAGACCCTATCAGTTCAGGAAGGTCACATGTCTACCTAAGCTCCACCCACTGCTAAGACTTCAAGGACAAAAGAGGCTCTTTACAGGTGGTTACCCAGACATGGGGGGAAACACCCGGGATGACTTTCCTTTGCACGTTTAAAACCATCCCATACTCCATATCTCTAACTTTACATGCATGAGGGAAGCACACACCGAAATCAGATACACCGATCCAGCAGACTGTGGCATGAAGAGTGATAGGTTACATGAGGTGCTTTGTCCAGGGCATCGTCGAGTTACGCATATTGGTATCCATAAGCCAATTTCATAAAGCATGACGGGGAGAGGGGAACCGTCCCCATTCAGAATGCAGCATTAATGAGTCTGGCTGTGGCCCTGAGCACAAAGAGATGGTTTAAGCGGAGGTGGCAGCATTCTTGCATGGAATGTATTGTGTGACCCTTCTTCCCACCCCGATTCACCAAGATACCCCCGTTATGGGGTGTGCCTGGTCTTCTACTAGCGGACTTACTCGGTGTTGCCTGGGTCCTTCTGGGTGGGGACTTGTGGATGTGACAGGGGGGTGTAGGAAGCTGGGGGCCAGGGATGTGTTCTCCTATCCCTCAGGCTGCCTCTTTAGCCCACTTAGGGCCTATTCTCTTCTCCTCTTCATCCTTAGGCCAACCCCGCCAGCCCCCAACACCTCCCATCTTCAGCCAATTTTTTGCCACAACTCTGTCAGAGTTTATCACTGGTCCTGAGCTATTTCAGTGGCAAGATGCTGCATGTCAGGGCAGCTTATTCCTGAGGTAGATTCCTCACCATTTGCCAGGTCTCCATGTCCTCCCTCAGGGACATATAGGGTATGTCTACACGGCAGGTCAAAGTCAAGTTAAGATACACAACTTCAGCTAAGTTAATTGCCAGGTCTAAGTACCTTAACTCAGCCTTTGACGCTGTCTACACAGCAGGAAGTGGAAGGAAGAACACTATCCCTCTGACTTCCCTTACTCCTTGTGAAACGAGGGTTACAGGAGTTGGAGTAAGAAGCCCGTTATTTCAAAATTATTTCGAAATAACGGGCATGCTGTGAAGACGCGCACTCTGTTCTTTCGAAATAAGCGTGCAGTGTAGACATAGCTATAGAATGTGCCTGGGGCAAATGCATCCCAGAGAAAGAGTGAAATATTGTGCACCAAATAGAGCCTTTTTCAATTAATTTGTCATAGTTGTTTATCACCTAGGACTTACTCATGCCTTCCCAGCCTCTCTTTACCAACCCAACGAAGCAGCTGATTTTCATCTTCAATGTGAAGCAGGGATATTGCTAGGGTTCACTTCCTGATACTGTTAGATTGAAGACAAGCTGCAAAGCCAAAGCTAATGCTCTTTGTTGTTACTTTCTGATTGAGTCAAATTGAACTCAAAGTTTTATTTGAAAGGAAAATCTGCTTCCTGACTGGTAAGTTCTGTTTGCTTTCCTTTCGTTAGAGGGTCGTTGGCAAACCTCAACAGTGATATCACAATCGGTTGAAATCTGCCCTCTCTACCACCCAGGTCCTGCCCTTGGATTCAAGTTTGAACCCCTGCCGAAGTTGACAAGACTTCATGCAAATGGAAGGGCCTGCCCATGTGGAGTCCATTGCACGATGAGAGCCTCCAATTCCCCATCCTCCCTCCAGCTCGGTTTAGGACAGGAAGACCCGCAGCTTGGATGCAACAGCCAAAGTCCTTCAGCAAAAAGAAAGAAGTCAGGATCTGAGATATTGAGTGCAAGCAACAGAACAGGAGGGGAGGGGTTTTTTAAATAACCTCTGAGTCTGTATTGATTTGCATTTCAGAAAAAGCACTTATTTATGTAGGGATGGTTGGGGTTTTTTTTGGCTTCTCTATTCTTGTTTAAGGGGTTTCCAGCCTGGGACTCTTTGGCGTAAAAATCTTTCTCCTTTCAAAGTCCACAGAGGGGAGCAACCTAGATAAGTTCCTAGATAAGCTCTGTGAATATGTAACAGGTCACAGACTTCTGGAGGGAGGAAACGCAGGTGCCTGAAACAGTTAGACCTGCTAGGTGATAAAACCATCAGGCTATGTCTTCAGGCTTTATGAGCAAGAACAGCCTTTCTTGTGCAAAAACGTGAAGAGCATCTACACTGCACGTGCGTTCTTGTGCAAGTAAATTTACAGTAAAGCGTCAGAAAACAGGGCTTCCTGAGCAAGCGTTATTTTTCTTCCCACGAGGAATAAGCCCTCTTGCACAAGAGCTCTTCCACAAGAAGGCAGTGTGGACGGGCAACAGGGGTTTCTTGCGCAGGAAAGCCCTATGGCTAAAATGGCTATCAGAGCTTTCTTGTGCAAGAGAGCGGCCACGCTGCCATGGATGCTCTTGCACAAAAGCACATCTCTTCCACTAAAGCATATGGCCATGTGGACGTGCTCTTGTGGAAGACCTTTTGCACAAGAACTCTTGCACAAACAGTTCTTGTGCAAAAAGCCTGCAGTGTAGATGTAGCCTCAGTGTATATGAGTTTCTTCAGACATCATGCAAATTCCTATGTCTGGAGAGGCAGAAGCTCCCTGCAAATGGGTGGGGGAAGAGAGGGAGGGAAGGGAGGAGGCAGAGGAAGAGAGGCAAGGCATGTGAGTTTACACAAGAGGGGCAGAATTGGTCCTACCACTCCTGTTTCTAAGCATACCTCAGTCTGGTATCTTACCAGCCCTCCGATGACAATAGGCTCAGGCGGTGGCTGCTACCTTACAGCCCTGCATGCTCTCTGCAGACTAGGTGGCTGAATTTCCCTTCTCCCCAGTCCAGTGTCCCCGGAGTGTCCCTGCCTTGTGCATGGCCCTGTCTGCATTAGTGAGGAGGAATCCCGCTCCCCCTCCCCGAAAGCATAGAGCATTATTTCAGCTTTGCAACCCGGAGTGTGCAGGTGAGAAAGTAATTACTTCTGAACCTGCTAGCTGTAATCACTAGGCAATCTACACTCAATGTAATTACCACCTGTATGCAGAATATGTAATTACGGTATTAAGTAGCGACAGGATATTTACCAAGCAAATCCTTCTCAGTTACGGAGTCATTTAAAGGACTATACACATAGTATTTGTATATGCAAAACCACTCGTTACTGGGATTCCAGATAGCAAAAATCAAGGCCAGTGGGAGGAACTGAAGCCCAAATGAACAAACGCTGGTTCTAATTTCCTTTATTGATATTTTGAGTAGTCTCTGCTTGTGTCCATTGAAATCATTACCAGTGTATTTAAACATTTACCCTTGAGAGCTCACGCTTCTTTTTCTTTCCTGCCACTTGGCACATGTGAAAAAGACCCACGTGGAATTACTGTTCTAAGGGAAGCAGCCAGAGTTAGGATAATTTATTAGATGAAGAAAAACAAATTCTAGAAATAATATAGAGCTTCCCACCAATGAAATGTCTAGGCTAACGCCTACTGACTCCAGCAAGGGCAGGGGTTGGTATTACAACATATAGGTTGAACCTCTCTAGTACGGCACTTTCTGGTCTGGAAACATCCGTCATCTGGCATGATGTTAGTGAGTTGGATGTCTACTTTTCATGGGTGTGGCCAAGTTTCCTACAGTCTGTGGCAGTCCCCTGGGTGCGAGCACCCCGCCCAAGTCCGGGACGAGGGCCCTGCGAGCCCAACTGCCAGCTGTTTCCCACGTTCCCCTTACGGTAGTCCGTTCCGGGGTTCCGTCCCCCGGTGACCCAAGACCTTTATGCTCACTCCTGGGTTCCGCCTTGTCTCCTCCTCACAGGGGTGGTGGTGAAGGGGGACCCGGGCCCTCCCTCTCCACCGGGTCCCAGCCCGGGGCTCTGAGTGCAGGGTCAATGCTTCCCTGCATGGCTGATGGGGTGCGTTCCCGAAACACGTCAGCCCACGGGTGCCACAAGGACCCTGCCCCAGGCTGCTTCCTTCCCCCCACTGGTCCCTGTGGGCACCCACTCTCTCTCTCCCTTTCACCAGGCTGGGGCAGAGGGTTGGGGCGCAGGCTCTGGTCTTGGATTAAGGGTTTTGGAGTGTGAGAGGGGCTCTGAGCTGAGCTTGGGCCGGGCGGGGGGTGCCTGAGGAGGTACTAAGTACAGGCTCTGGGAGGGTGTTTGGAGGCAGGGGTGCTCGGGGCTAGGGCAGGGGCTTGAAGTGCAGGAGGGGTTCATTATTGGGGTAGGTTTTTGGATGTGGGCACCAGCTGGGAACTGCTTGCCTCAGGTGGCTCCTGCGTGGTGGTCTCACCCTTGCCCTGGCCCTGCACCACTCCCTAAAGCAGCCAGCAAACTCCATCCCAAGTCCTGTTGTGCCCCCTCTCTGCTCTGTGGAGATAGGCTACAGGGTGGGAAGGGGCACCTTGACATCAGCACCCCTTCTTCTCCCTTCCCTGCTCTGCTCAGCAAGCAGGAGGCTCCTGACGGGGCAGCCCCAAGGCAAAAGGCAAGGAGATGCACAGCAGTCGGGAGGGGAGAGTGGGGTTAGGGTTTGCTGAAGTGCAGGCACTTGATACTCTTGGCCAAACCAGTCAGGATCACCTGTCAGAGACTCCAAGATCTCCAAGTAGATCTGTGCCTTCTTCAGCTCCCATGAAATCCTTGGAAATGCGCCACATCTTTCAGCCTCAGGCGGTAGGGACGGAATCCTGGTGCACCGACCTCATTGGCAAAACTCCTGTTGACTTCAGCCGGTCCAGAATTTCACCCCTGGGTTATGATTTTGTTGGTAGCCCTGCTCTCCGGCCCGGCTGAGAGCCCTGAACTGTTTCCAGGGGCTGACCCTGCAGCCTCTACTCAGGCAAGCATTCCTAGTGAGTTGAAGAGGCTGGCTCCCAGGAGCAGCGCATCCGCTAGCTGAATAATGGTGGCGCCGTAGGAAATTACCAGCTTTAGCTTTGAAAATGACCCATAATTACCCAGTGATGATGTGTTCCTGAAGATTAGTTGTTAAAGCACAATAAGCAGCATCCCTCCCCCTGTAATAGGAAAATGAATGGTATTAACTCACTACACTCCCCGCTGATTCTTTTCTTTTCAGTTGCTGAGAATACACGACCATACCCCCTCCAAAAAGGAGTCCGGCGGCACCTAGAAGACTAACAATTTGTTTGGGTATCAGCTTTCCTGGGCTGGAGCCTCAGAAGCCTCTGAATGTTTACGCCGAAATAAAATTATTAGTCTGTTTCAACAAAACCAACAAGGAGTCCTGTCGCAGACCAGCACAGCTACCCATCTGAAACTCCCACAGGGAGCTACATGACAGGGCTACATCTAGATTGCAGCCCGTTTTCGTAAAAGGGATGCAAATTAGACGTATCGCAATTGCTAATGAAGCGGGGATTTAAATCTCCCCCGCTTCATTAGCATAAAATGGCTGCCGCTTTTTTTCGGCACGGAGCTTTGCCGGAAAAAAGCGCCAGTCTAGATGCGGATCTTTCGGAAAATAAAGCCTTTTCCGAAAGATCCCTTATCCTGGGGCAGCAGCTGGAGCCTTTGGCCCTTTCAATTGCCAGTGGAATGCCGCATCAGGCATTCTGTGTGGTTCTGAGGGGTGGTGGGGGAAAGGAGCCATGCTCCGGGTGGTGCTGAAGGATGGCTGTCCCTGGCCTCACCCCCTTCTATCTGAGGCTCCACCCATTCCAGGAAACAGAGCAGCCTCCCTCACCTTGCCAGTTGGTTAGGGGGTGTGGCCACAGACATCAGGGAAACCAGGGAGGGTGTGGTCTCATTCATAGGTACTTTACTCTTCTCGGATTCCATTTAAAAAAAAGCTCCTTAATAAGGATGTTTAAATCTGTCCCCCCACTCTCCTTCTTTCAATGGAGAATTTCTACACATCCAAGAATAAAGAGACCTGCACATTCCTGTAGCTTGGGCTAATGGGAGCTTAAGATTTTCCTGTCCAGAAGGCAGGTGGGTCCAATGGAATGGTATCGTGTACGTTACAGCTTCTTTTCTCCCATGTTCCCTTTTGCATTGGTGGCTGTTCTTTTGGGGAGAATATTAAAAAAGGATTACAAACCCAGCGCTCTTATTTTCTGCAAAAGGACAATTGTAGCCATGTGCATGTGAGCCATTCTCATCCTCTCCAAAAGCCGCTAGCAAGCTGAACCAAGAAAGGCAAATAAGAGTTACAATAAAAGAGTTTTAAAAAAGAGGCTTTGGCTTCCTTGACCATGGGATTCTATTCCAGGAAGGACTGCTAAGCAGGGATGGCATTGACCTGTCGAGGAAGGGGAAGATCGTATTTGGATACAGACTGGCTAACCTAGTGAGGAGGGCTTTAAACTAGGTTTGACAGGGACAAGTGACCAAAGCCCACAAGTAAGTGATGAACATGGAGACCTGGGAGATGGGTCGGAAATGAGAGGGAGTGTGAGCTATAATAGCAAAGAGAAAGAAGGGACAAGGCAGAACTGGGAGGCAAGATCAAGTCAATATCTTAGATGCCTATATACAAAAGCAAGAAGTATGGGTAATAATCAGGAAGAACTGGAAGTGCTAATAAATAAATACAACTATGACATCATTGGCATCACATAGACTTGGTGGGATAATACACGCAACTGGAATATTGGTATAGAAGGGTACAGCTTACTCAGGAAGGACAGGCAGGGAAAAAAGGGAGGAGGTGTTGCCTTATATATTACAAATGTACACACTTGGACTGAGGTGGAGATGGACATAGAAGACATACATGTTGAGAGTCTCTGGGTTAGGCTAAAAGGGGTAAAAAACAAGGGTAATGTCATGCTAGGGGTCTACTACAGGCCACCTACCCAGGCGGAAGAGGTGGATGATGCTTTTTTTAAACAACTAGCAAAATCATCCAAAGCACAGGATTTGGTGGTGATGGGGGACTTCAACTATCCAGATATATGTTGGGAAACTAACACAGTGGAGCACAGACTATCCAATACGTTCTTGGACTGCATTGGAGACAACTTTTTATTCAGAAGGTTGAAAAAGCTACGGGGGGGGGGGGTGCAAAG